TTCCCCACGCCCAACAAGCAAAGCAGCAGAATGTCTCTGGGGTTTAGCCAGTTCTCCCCAATTACTTTTTTGATTGCTGAATCATGCAGACATTCTAATGGAAATAGAAATTATATCATTTATTAAATTCCTACTTTTGTGCCTACCCAGCAGACATTTCAGTATGGTCTACCTGTGCTGCTTCTTCTGATAATGATCATGAAGGATATGGGAGGGTGCCATTAGGCTATTAAGTGACAGGGCACAACAATAAAATAATTAACATTTTCCTCTTGGGATTCTATAGATCTTAAGGTACAACTTTCATTGTCACATAATTTCAAGGATACAGGTGAGGAAAAGTTATTTATTATAAGATAGATAAATTAATAATACATAAAGCTAAATGACTTCCAACTTACTTCTATTGGTGATAAAGTCATAATATAAAATGAAGACTTCTTTATCCTGGGTTTAGTATACTATACACTAAAACAAGACCTTTTAGGAATTCACATTCAAAACATGATTATATGCCCTCTTAGGAGTCACATGTTCTTCTTTGCCTAGTTAGACCCCTCTAGTAAATTTATATTAGTATTATTTTCAGTCAATTTGTTTTCAAATAACTTTTTGGCAGTGGGGCAATTAAAGAGTTTTTATCTTAGAGTACAGAGGAGTTCATTAATAGCTTACTAAGAGTGCTATCAAAGTTCTGCTTTATGCCTGAATGATAACTGGAATAAGGGAAATATTCATTAATATATTGATAATAACCAACACTTTCAGAAGATGAAAGACCTAATATTAATTTTTTTTAATATTAATATTCTTGAAATAAAATTTCCCCATTGTTTCTCTTCAGTAGCCCACCTACAATGATGAAATACTTACTGGCTCTAAGAATGTTCTCCTTACTGCTGCACCTGGACTGGACCTGTAGAGAGAGCATAAACTCAGTAATTTAGGGCTTATAACATGGATAGCCATATATGCAAATTTAATGGGCAAGCTCCTGAGGTTTAGAAGCAGAGGCTTTATGTATCTCAGATATCAAAACTTGATAGTAAAAATATTTTACATTTGTTTTTTATATATATATATATAGTCAAAATATTTTATATTTGTCATATATATATATATATATATTTAAATCTCTCTTCTATTTTAAAGAAATAGTCAACTGACTTATAGAAAAAAATATGTGAAGAACAACAAAGTACAGTATTATACAGAGGTTGAACCAAAGGCAATTTTTAAAAATATGTATCTGAAACTGGTATCTATAAAAATATTTCAATTTGTCACAGATTCAGTTGTGAATACAGACCCTTGATGTATTCTAATATATCTACTGATTCAGGTAATAAAATGAAACAATTTAAGTAATAAAGTTGTAATCAAATATTCCACTGTACTCATTTTTAGTCTAAAGAGATATATTGAGAGGAAAAATACAGAAAACTTTTTATATATAATTTTGGCTTTTGATTTTAATAATCTTGGTTGTTTACTGACTATAATAACTGAGTTTAATTACACTATTAGTTATAAAAGATGTTCTTGTTAGAAATCAGTGAAATTGAACTAAATTATTAACGTCTTCTGTGTGTATATATAGTTATCAATCTAAAACCCTTAGCTTTGACTCAAAATATTTTATGTTGAAGTGGAACATCCTTTTAAATGTTTTACAAAACTGTTGAATTCAAGGGTCACATTGGCTGGCATTAACACTGTTGTTAAAGTCTCAGGAAACTGTGTTTAAGTTCCATGCCTCTTCTTTTCACTCTGCAGCAGCTTGCCCCAAATGGGTATATACATGACAAATTAATTTCTACAGCTTAAAACAATCTATTTATTGTAATGAAACAACTTATGAAAGGAATGTTGCAACTTAGGGTGGGTTATGGTTGTCCTTCCCTGAAAAAAACAATTGTTAATGTTTAAAGAAACAACAATGATAATAAAAAAAAAGCACAAACATACACACAATGGGGGGAAAAATCCCCAACAAAACTCAAACACACACACACACACACACACACACACACACACGCACACAAAGAGAAAATAATTCCAAATATTTAAGTTATTCTCTTTTGGCCCAGATTGTTTTTATTTTTAAAACTCTGTAATGGAAAAGTTAATATTCTTATATTCTTTTACATTGAAGAACAATTCTGGACCAAATGGGAAAGAAATTAATGACTACTTAAAAAAAAAAAACAAATACAGGAAGGATGGCATGAGAGAGAGGAAAAGAAAAGGGGGCGAGAGGCTTGCAGAATGAATCTAGAAAAGCAAGTATAAACCTACAGGGGTGATAGTATGTAAATGCAGAATGTTCTGCTATTTCTTAGTGAAGATTCATACCAAGAGGGTAAGAATGACTAATGAACTTGCAGCAAAATAAACAGGCAGGTTGGCATACCATGGAATGAAAATGAGTTTAACTAAGCAACTACGGCCTTAAAGGAGAAACGAAACAAACACTAACAGACAAGCTGAATAAAGAGAGAGAAACTGCATTTTAAGAGAGATTTAAGAACACAAGAGAAAACTAAAAGAGAAAACTCTGGGAGAGAGTAGGAAAAGAAAGAAATGTTGAAAGACAAAAACAGAGTTGAAAGAAGTCAATGGAAGTCAAGAAACTCTTCAACAAGATGTAGAAACAGAAGGAGCTCAAGCCCATAGCGCAAAGCAACCTTTGCGAATGGAAAAGCAGCTCCTTTGATCAGTAATAGTTACTCTTAAATCGTAGCCTCTATTCCTCCAGAGTTCATCTTTAAGCCCTTCCAATCTAGAGTGGAGCTAGTGTATGGATAGAAACAAGAGATTTACAATGAACACAACAGTTCAGATGAGTAGCTCAAATTATCATAAAATGTTTCAACTGATCTAAATAATGTCTAAGTGGAAGTGATGGAGAAGAAGTAGCTGGCTTTCTCAAAACAACAACAAAACACCCAAACAAACAAACAGAAACCAAAAAAATTCCCCAAACCAAAACCAAAACCAAACACCCTCTCCTCTTCCTTAAGTGGTTTAAAACAGCAAATCATTCATGTTGTTGTGTGCCAGAGTCGGTTCCAATTTATTGTGACCCTGTATAGAGTTTCCAAGGCTGTAAATCTTTATGGGAACATCTTTCTCCCAAGAAGCGGCTGGCAGATTTGAACTGCTGACCTTGTGTATAGCAGCCATCATGATGGGCTAAGAGACTCTCAACTATTGCTTTGTGGCATCTCAGTTTGGAAGTATATATATCAAATCGTTTTGGAAGAGAAATCTGGATGCTGATTAATCTGGATAATGAGAACAAATCAGAGCACAAGGTTCACAGTATAAACAATGTTTTCTCAGTGACCTTGCATTGGCTATCTGAACCAGATTTGGGACTAACCAACTATTAAAATCAATGACTGTAAGAATGTATTTACTTTTGTGACCTTAGATAAAAAAAAGACTATTGAGAGAAATCATAATTTAAAAAAACCCAAACCACAAAACAACTGCTTTTTATTTTTATAGATAGCAAATGATACTATTTCATCATTAAATTACTCATCTTTTAAATATTTACGTCATTTTATAAAATTGCAAATGAAGACTTTTACTATCCCCTCAATCACAATGTAGTGAGATTTACTTAAAAGAATAAAGTTGAAAACAACTATTATTCTTCATTCTCAAACATAAGGCCTGCAAAAGAGGTAATGGAGGTTTGTTTCTGGTTTTATAAAAGATCCCCCTCCCCCCTTTACATTAGTCTAGCTAGATTCAATGGAAAAAAAAGAATGTCTGAAAACCAAAATAAAATGAGATTTCTGACTTAATACCAAATTTGTTGGGGATTAATGAAAGGTATAATGTTAATATTATCTTTATTCTACTGGTTGATACTATTTTACTGTAACTGACATCTGCTTTATATAATGTTGACAATCACCCTTTCAACTCAAATCAAAACTAAAATAACATACAAAAACCATATATAATATTAAAATCAATGGAGACAATGAAAAACACAAGAGACTGACAATTTAGTTATACTTTGGGACACTAAATAACTCATTTCAACATTGTGTTTACATGTGTGATAAAATTTTTGCTTAAGATCATATTGTCCTTTAAAAATCTTATGACATGAAACAAAAATTAGAGGAAGGATAGCATGTATTAAATGATACGGAAAAAGTGAAAATGCCTTTTAAAAAAAGGTGAGAAAATTTTAACAAACAACCACAATCGTTAGATACAGTTAGAGAAGTGACTTACCTTATGCTTAGGTCATAACAAGAATAGCACAGTGTTTAAAGTCAGCTCTTCAATATGGGAGGTACAATTGAAAGCCATAGGTTATAATAACATGAATTGCTATACAGGAATGAAGACTGTTTTCAGCCCAACATGAAAAGCTAACTCTCATGGGAGAACAGTTAAACTTATGTTTAATGCAACATGAAGAACAACTGAGAGTGTAAACATCAAAACACACAGATCTCACACCAGTTAGAACAAGAAGGCTTAACTTCTCAGGAACACATAAGATTTAATCTGTGACCATAATTTACGACACAGAAAGGGAAGGCACATCACTCTAACACTGAAAGATACATGCATAATAGATCACCATCCACTGACTCCCCCACACTCAGTACACACACAAGCTAAGATACAGGGAAAGAATGTAGTGCCAAGCTGTAATGAAGAAAGCAGGACACACAGAAGCACAGCAGTGGTCATGTGATTTGAGGTGTTCTTCCCTTAAACCATCCCATCACCATGCTTATTTTAAAGAAGCCAGATAAAGACCCCGTTTCAATGCTGCAGTAGCTACGAGCCCCCAGCTTGAAGCTAGTGTGTGGAATTTTTATCACCGTTCCCTGCGATGTCAGGGGCTCTCCAGTGGAAGCCAGATGTGTAACACCAGTTAGTAAGGTACAAATGTGTGAATAACAAATATCCTTTCCCTTCTGTATTTCACAGAAGTAAGGGAGGAAAGAAACAAATATAATAAACCCAGTTAAGAATAGGTTCAAAACAATATAAGGATGTGTAAATATTAAAATGATGATTGCATTTGATTGCAGGTTAACACACTCAGATTTCATAGAGATTGTTTCTATTTTGCATCCTTTTTTCCTTGAAAATGCATGAAATAAATTTCTACAATATAGCTCATATTGAAAAATTGTGAGCAGTTTGTAAAATAGGGTCACAGTCAACAATGAAAGAAGCCATTTTCTTTGATGGACATTATGAAAGCCCTATCTTCAAACTTTCAGCTTGATTCTGCTGGCTAGCAGTTACATTTTAAATCAGAAGTTAAGTTTTTATAAATCTGCTCAGTTATGTAATCTGAGATGTTCTACGGCATTGGTGCAGAAAAACTCAATTTAAAATTTAGTATTTTTACATTCTAAAAAATAAGCAATAAGAAGGCTATCTATTTAGCAACTTTTACTAAGTTTCCATGTACTTTCCCCTACTGGCAACCAGACTTACTTTAACATGTACTGTTACTGGCAAGAACATGGTCCTATCAGTTCATGAAAAAAAAAATCTCAACTTTGTTTTCCTATTATTGATGACATTAATTAATGTCATCTATTTTATTCTTTTTCTATGATTTGAATTTTGACTCATGTGTGACATCCCAATTTGAAGATCTGTAATTGTTCTCTCCCTCATCTTAGCAGGCCAGAATATCTTCACCTTCCTTTTAGAATTGCTTAAATATTTTAGGATCTGGACCTGATAATAATCTGTTTTCTCATCAAAGAAATTGTTGTGGGGCTGGCTCAAAGGAAATGCACACATATCAGTGATTTTTAAGCTACAAAGGCCAAAACAAATGTGAGCAGTTATTATGATTAGCGGAGCCTCCTCCTTGTTATTTCCTCATCAGAAGCAGCAGGGCAAGCTCTTGGT